ACACACACACACACACACACACACACACACACATAATTTGAGTGCACGATTGCGTGCACAAAGTACGAAATTGCTTCTTCATGCACTCACATTTCTTCTCCATATTTATCCATTTTACAAAAATATGGGCTTGCGTAAGAACGAAAATGGTAGCTGGCTGAGATTGCGGATATAACAGAGTCTCTCGTAGTTCTCTTTCAAATCCTAAAGCTTCGTCTACCAAATGCGCAAATAGAGTGTCATCATACTGTACTAAGGGCAATTCGGAATGAAGTTTCTCAACGGCTAACTGAACTAGAGCGCGCATAAATTCAGCCTATTAATACACTGTAATTAGTGCCCAGAAATATGATTGTAATAATCAATATCAGAATACAATTAATTATATCACACCTTAATATCTAAGTGTCCAAAACCTACAGAATCCGCTACAGGTTGAATGTTCTTTTGTACCCACTGAACATGGTCTTTGATCCATGTTAAAATCTGTGTAAAGAACCATTCTGGCTTATCTTGACGGTTTGTCAATTTAGCTCCTGTGAAATGATAAATGAATCTTTGTCGGAGAGGACGTACTAAAAGGGCGATTGGCAAACTAACTGGTGCAAAGTCTGTTAACAGCACAGATGTTACTACAGGTTTTATCATTTCTTCTCTAAGTACATTAAGGACAATACAGATAATCTCACCAATTCACTTTTCAATGAAATCTAAAACAATTAAATTGTGTATTACAAGGATACGGTAACTGCAGATGAAAGAGATATTCAATGAGTATCTTAAATCTTGTCATTGTCTCTAGCAAAGGTACGTTCAATAAAGTAGCATTGGTTCCACAAAAAGGCCATTTCAACGTCTTCAATAAATCATTGTACTCCCTGTAAATATTACATGTTGGGAAAGTATATAGTAACTAACAAATTAGGATATATGTGAAAGATAGAAAACATACTTTGATAATTTTTCCTTGATTAGATTATGCCAAAAGTGTAAGGTCTCATGGACATAACTGACCAGGTGATGACACACAGATGTTTGCAATTGGCAACTGATGTTTGTCAAGCTCGTATATAGAATTATTACAGACTGATCATCACCAGATAACAAAAATGTCTCTATCTCATCACTGAATAAAAATGTTATAACTATTTAATATATATATATATATATATATATATATAGTAAATCATAAAACACTCTACGGATGTAATATTCTTTGACAGTTTATTACCTAATATTTTCTATATATCTTATAAAGAATAAATAGGATAACGATTTGTCAAGCTGCCCTATCTTGTCAATAACTTCTTGTAGCTCTAAATTTTTGTCGTTTTCACTAAACGTCTCCTCAATCATCTTACTCAGATCTAAACAAGTTTTTTGTAACTGCTTGACTTCACAACTGACACATTCTACATTCTCAACTACTGCTTTTACCTTGGAAGGAGCAGTGGTTGATGCCATTGACAGCTGTTGACAAAAAGTGATTGTATATAACGTTTTGTCACATTAGAGGTGCATACATTCGTGGAGCGTACTATTAGAGCTATGCATCATTCCATCTTTATCATTCATTAGATGTAAAATAAGGATAGAATGAGTAACAGCGCTAATAGCACACGCTCCGCGAACGTACTTTATATGTTATGCTACTTTGTAGATGAATACTGACTGATTTTTCAATCTCATTCTTCTCCGCTTTGAGACGCTCTTGGAAATCATAAATTCCTTCAAGAT